AATTTTGATTTTTTTTTTAGGGGTGGGTCAGCATTCCAATAGTAAATTTGGATCATATTTCTGGAATCTAAGCTTTTGTTAATGAAAAGTGCTTGCTGCTTTGAAAAGGGTTTTGCTTTACTTTGCTTTCTCCAAACACCTGAAAACAAAACCAGGGGAAGCACAATTGGAATTCATTATTGCCATGCCTGGTGCAGGTTTATTATTGCTATTCTGGGGCTTGTAAAGGGGATACCCTTTGTGGACCTGTTTTCTTGTTTTTTTTAATAAGGGTTTTAGAAGGAAATCAGCTGTTTGGGAATTGGATCAGATTTCTAGAATCTAAGCTCTGGATACTATACCATGCCCTCTGGACAAGGTCAGAACATGAGTTTTTTGGCAATACTAAAATTAAATTAGGCTAATTGACTTTTAGTATTGGAGAAAAAACTGGAGTTGGGAAAAAAGTTTCTACTATTGCCATGTTGGGTCCACTATTGGCCATGCCCTCTGGACAAGGTCTGAACATGACTCGTTTGGCAATACTAAAAGTAAATGGAGCTAATTGACTTTTAGTATTGGAGATAAAACTGGAGTTGCGGAAAAAAGTTTTCTACTATTGACAAGATATCCCTATTGGTCAGACAACATTATACCCTTTCAAGATCTTTCAAGAACCTACCCCCACTACAAGTGTCAATCATATCAATAATTGTATCCAAGTCAGCAGCAAGTGTGAGATGCTTGTGCCACTCTCAGATACCAAGCATTTTGTTTGGCTGGTTAGTATTTACATTAATGTATAACATTGCCATATTCCAAAATTGTCGGCAAAAGGTTACAGTATCAATGATGTATCAAAACGTATCGAAGATCATCAAACTATTGTGGCAAACTCAATGCCATCAATCATCCCCAAGTCATCATCATGTTTATGGATTGTTTGTTCACCATTGTTAAGCATCGCCAAATTTTAGTAGGATGTGCATTGGGTTTCCCACATTGTACAGATAAAGTTGGGACATGTAAGGGCTGCAGCGCCGTGGCACCTTTCGAGATGTTGACCTCCGTGTTCTTCAAAGAGAAGGTGGAGTTGGAACCTGAAAGGTGGAGAGTTGCCCAAATTTGCGGACTCCGTATGATTCAATGATGGGATATATCGTGGTGGTGTAATTTGACAATATGTAAGTATAAATATATATATATGTATATAGTATACATATATAATATATATATATATGTGTATATCACTGCTTCATGATTGAACAACCCAGAAACATACAGAGTCGATGTGTCCTGATTTTATAGGCCGGTCCCATCATGTCCCATCCCGCGGGCGAAGGAACGATCCACCGGGGAACGATCCCATGAAATAAGCCACTGAATTACCCTCTGGTAATTTGTTACATAGCTATTGAAAATCACCATTTATAGTGGATTTTCCCATTGAACATGGTGATTTTCCATAGTTATGTTAATTTACTGGAGGGTATCCCTTCTTTGATCTGCCAGAGAGTGCCCTCTGGACAAGTATTCTTCCAACCAAACAAAAAAAAAACATGCAAAAAGCACTATGATCCGTGGATCATCGGTCGTATGGTCATCATATTCTTTGGTGCTGCGGTGCTGCAATGCATCTCGATGGCACCCGAACATCCCTACTACAATCGCAACCGTTGAAGCCTTCAATATGAAGCATTGTAGCACTGGATGGTCATTGAGCCAACCCTCTGAAAAGCATCTTTGTATGTTGGGGACGAAGCAAAGTATCGATTGAGCACTGTTCTAACCTGTCATCCCTTTTTAAAAGTGCTGAGGCCAGGATTCCCATCGTGGTTGCATCATCCGAAAAATCACTAGCTATGCGCACAGCTACTGTAATTAATGCTCATCAACCATGAACCCCATCATTTATCAAAAGATATCATTTATGTCATGTCATCATGTTTTATTATTTGACATGGCTAACCTTAGATACACGGTGTGACCAGTAAGTTGTAAGTTGGTATAATAAATGTTTATAAACCCATTGACTACTTCGTTACCACACATAAACCCAAACGTTCTATCATACATCACCTATGAATCCCATTCAATCCCTTATGTTTCTTGGTTTCATATGGGTTTTTCAGTCGTCTTTTCCCAAAAAGGTTTTGTTTGCCTGCCAAGGCACTGAGAGGTATCGCCTCGGTGGCATCCCAGTCTAAGACGCTTCCGGATGTCATTTTTGTTCCAGGTGTTCCAGGATAGGTCAGGTGAGAAGTCAAAATGCTTGTCAAGATCCCATGATCCCATGATCATATCATATCCCCCTTTTCCTGGTTGTTTCTGAGCCATCGCCCTTTTTTGTTGCTACAGAATGACCAGGTTGTATCAGTTGTATCCCCCAGACCCAAAAATTTGGCGAAATCCGAGCGACTTGGCCCAGCGGACCCGTGTTCAGAGCATGTTCCCCTGGACCCCTGAGCACCTGGCGCGTTCAGATCCCGATCCCGGTTTGTTTCGGGGATGAAATCCATTTGTAATGGTACAAAATACAAAATGGTACGTATATTATCACTATAAACTATATAATGTATAAAATTGGAATTATCCCATTGTTGAATCATCTCATTTTTTAAGGAATGGAACATGGGAGAGTAAATATGAGTTGAAGTTCCACGAATCGCTCAGAAATGTCCAGCCATATCCTAATGACTGCTGGAGTTGATCTTGTCTGCTCTTTCAGAAAAGGGACTAGCTTTCTTTAAGTAAATGACTCAGCCTTCATTTCTTATACTGTCCCCAGCAATTTTTTCCTGAGTAGTTGCGAACACAAAAACGTAATGAAGAGCCAGGCAGTCATGTTTCGGTACAGTGTGGTGAAACAAAGAGTCAAAACTACTTACTGTAAGTTCATCAACACCATACATACATGAATGATAGACATATCTGGACCCCCAATGACCTTTATCATTTTCGCAGATTGGATTCTTCTAAGGGTTGCCCATCCATAAATTTCATCCAGGTTTCCAACATCTTTGCACATACAGAGACCCAAGGTTTTGAGCCCCCAAGTGGATGCTCGGCAAAATTTTTCTGCCTTTTCCCAGCGAAATTCCTCGATTTGACCGGACGCCTGTAGAAGCTGCGCGGCATACTTCAGCTCGATAGGACCTCGGGAGACCATGGCCCGTCTGGATGAATGTACGGTTTTATCTCGGGTCCTCTGGTTTTCCACATCTATGTTCGTTCAAGAGAGGGTGTGCATATTTTCGGGTAAAGATCCAAGCATTCCGAGCATTCCAACACCCCTGCGCTCACCTGCGATGCTGCCCTGCTCGCGCACATCTGTGGCGCCCAGAAGCGTCAAATTGCTGCGAAGCCTCGCCACGGCGTTGACCATCGTTGACCCATTGGGAAGTCTGTGGATGAGGTAATTCGGATGGATCTGGGGAAATTATGAGTATGGATCAATACCTATTAATACCATTTTTAGGTGGATGAACATCCATTTACCAGCTATTTTGATGTTCACCAGGGGTACAAGGTTTTGACCCATCCCCTTATGAGTACAAGAATTACCATCTGGTTGTTCAACATAGCCATGGAAAGATCCACCATTTTTAATGGGTAAACCATCTATAAATGGGCAATTTTCCATGGTTATGTCTGACAGTTAGCCATGGAAAGATCCACCATGCTATTACTAGGTAAACCATCTATTTCTATGGGCCATGGCTTCCATGGCTATGTTAAATAACCAGAGGGTACCAAACCAAACATAAGTTCTTCTTTGATGGTTTCCTTTGAGAATTACCAAGCATCATTGGCGATGAGGTCCTTATACTTTGTCCAATGTTTGGTCATGTTTATCCGTGGTTTTCCTTGATGTTTCACTCGTTCTTATAACTACACCTCTTTTCAAGTCCAATCATTGAGTAGCTGTCACTGTGTTTCCTGAGTTGATGATATTCATGGTTGATACTAGTCTGTACTGGCTTTAAACCCATCTCGTATCCCACTTCTAAGTTCAGAAACATATCTTTGTGTGATTGTCTTAAGTCATCTTCAATGTTTATGCGGGGCCAATAAATATGACATCATAGTATACCATGAAAATACATGGTATAAGTGTACAACGTGTGCATGAATGCCACAAGAGGATGGATTGAAATGTTGAAATATTGAAGCCGTCGATGCAGTCTTTTTCGACATGTCAATGTGCCAAAGAAAGTTAAATTGATGTTATTCAATATCAATGAAGTGAAAACATATCTATGTTGCATGTATATACATTGTAGATGTGCGTATATACTCATTTACAGTCATATTACATACCACTATCATATTATATTATATCATTCTCACATTACATATTACATACCACTATCATTCTATTACATATTACCATTATCATTATAGCATACCACTATCATATTACATACCACTATCTTAGTTATACACATTTCATATCATGTATTACATATCACTATCTGATAGGGCCCCAATTTTAACTCTCTCAAGGTCTTAGGACCCAATATTTCTATCAAAGGATGCCGCAAAAAAACAGTGCCTTATTGCTACACAGAAGTGGTTGAAAAATGTTGAAAATCTACTACGAAATACAAAACAAGATGGGTTTACGAACTACTATAAGATTGGTTTCAATTGCTGCGAGCAAGACATATCTAGTTTGTTTTCAAATGTTTTTCTATAATGTGGAAATCAGGAACCTTTGGTATGCGGAAGGTTCCGGTTGTTCCCAACAATGAATTCATGACTTTGGATGGAAAATCATCGGATTACCAATGGCTGCTTCCCACTTCTGGTTGGTGGTTTACCTACCCCTCTCAAAAATATGACGGACTTCGTCAATTGGGATGATGAAATTCCCGACTGAATGGGAAATCATAAAATTCCATGGTTCCAAACCACCAATCAGATCACCATCGTATTCCCATTGTTGTTGGTTTATAGCCTATTAACCACTATTAACCATCAATTGACCAACTAGCCTCACCAAACAGCCAGTCGAGTCG